CCCCTCTTCCACCTGTCTGGGGTGCTGCAGAGGGTTGTTAATGACCCAAGGGCAGGACCCAGCACTGGCTGAAGGCCACTGCCTAACAACACAATGTTAAAACTCTTCAGATAAATAGTTCCTGCCATGCTGGTGAGCCTGAGAGAGGCCTCAGGAGCTCTGTGTGCTCTCTGTGCTGTGCTGTTACAGCTGCTCCTGGGTCTGCAGGCACTCCCAGCTCCATGGGCACTATCTTATCAGGTCAGGGCCTGCAGCCTGTGTCCCCTTGAAGCTGCCAGTGTGGCTCCCTGGTGAGCTGTGAGGAAGCCACTGCTCCCCTTGCTGCTCAGCAGGGTTAACTGTTCCCACTGGGGAACATGAAGTGTCTGGGGGAGCCCAACTCCTGAAAGAGGGAGGTTTGACCCCATTCCCCTGATGTCAAACAGCATTTCAGCTCAGCAGGGCATAAATTCCCAAGCTTTAAGCCCTGGAGGAAGTGAGAATGGATGAGCAGCACAACCCTGCCCAGTTCTTCCTGTGAGAGCTTCCTGGGTGTGCATCAAAAATCCCAGGGGAGCTGAAACTCTGCCCAGAAGCTGGCTGTGAAGAGCTCGTGCTCAGCTGGGGAGGTGTGGGGGAGAGGTGGCACCCCCAGACACTCCCTCTCCTACAACAAGCTCTGTGTTCTCTCCAAAGCTCTACAAAAGGTTCAATCTCCCGGGAGCTCCCCCGGAGTCCATGGGGCGAGGACGAGACTGGAACGTGGACCTCATTCCCAAATTCCTTATGGCTAATGGTGAGTGCTGGCAGCTCCCAGACCTGCCCCATGAGCCAGGGCTGGAAGGTGGAACGTCTCCTTCCCAGCAGCTCCCAGCGTGGTCCCTTCTCAAGCCCAGTGGGTGGTGTGAATCCATGTGGTGATGTTCTTCCAGGGCTCAGGAGGTGACTGTCCATCCCCTTTGTGCCTGTTTTGTGGCTTGCAGACTCTGTCACCCCTTACTGATGCCACAAATCACAATCACAGAATGGTTTGGGTTGGAAGGGACCTTAAAGATCACCTGGTTCCAACCCCCTGCCATGGGCAGGGACTCAGGTGTCTCAAAGCCCCATATAGGCTGATCTTGAACACATCAGTGGTGGACCATCCACAGCTTCCCTGGGCAACCTGGGCCAGGGGCTCACCACCCTCAAGAGTCAAGAACTTCCTCATTTCTAATCTTAGTCTCCCCTCTTCCAGTTTGAAGCCATCACCCCTCATCTCTCACTGCAAGCCCTTATGAAAAGTCCCTCCCCAGCTTCCTTGCAGGCTCCCCTCAGATACTGGAAGGCCCCAGTAAATCCTCAGTCTGTGTTCCAGTAGTGGGACAGATCTTCTAGACCAGGACCACTGTCAGTGAAGCAGTGACCACTACAAACAAGTTCAGGGGCATCTCCCTTTCCAGATACCAACCAGTTGCTCTTGTCCTTGGAGTCCCAAGTCTTCTCCAGGCTAGTGCAGTGTGGGAGACTTGGTAGATCCCAGTCAAGGCCTGGCTGCTGTGGTCCCAGCTGAGCCTGAGCTGGCAGAGGTGTGGTGAGTGGCTGAGGGGCTGCACCCTCAGGGGATGGGACAGTCTGTGGGGACAGGTGAGTGGGTGTGTGCTGACACAGGCTCCTTGTGAGCCAGGGGCTGAGGGGGGGTAAGGTGGCTGGACAAGCCAGCCTGGAGGCAGTGTGAAGATGACCAGGAGGCTGGAACTGCTCTTCTCTGAGGACAGGCTGAGAGAGTTGGGGTCCTGCAGCCTGGAGAAGGCTTCAGGGAGAACTTGTAGCTTTGTAGTACTTAAGGGGGCCTGTTACAAAGCTGGGGAGAGAGTTTTGAGCAGGGTCTGTTGGGACAGGACAAGGGGAGATGGTTTGAAACTCAAAGAAGGGAGAGTTAGACTAGAGAAAAGGAGGAAATTTTGGAATCTGAGGGTGTTGAGCCCCTGTCCCAGGCTGCCCAGAGAGGTGGTCACTGCCCCATCCCTGGCACCATCCCAGGGGAGGTTGGCCGGGGCTCTGAGCAACCTGCTCTAGTTGGGGCTGTCCCTGCTCCCTGCAGGGGGGCTGGATTAGGTGGCCTTTAATGTCCCTTCCCACCCAAACCTTTCTGTGATTCTATAACAATCCATAAGCAGGCTGGGCTAAGTCTGAGGAGTGGGGATGAGGAGCTGCTGTGGTCCAAAAACATGACCTTATCTGTCATGTTGAGTGTGAATGACCTACCAGGAGCAGAGCCCAGCCATGTTCTGCAGCAGGGCTTTTACTCCAAGCATTGATGAAACCACAGGAGTGAGAAGGAAGCTGTTAATTGCCTCTGTGAGAAAGCCTTAAAACTGCCTAACAGTTGCAGCAGTGAGTATCTGCCACACCCTGGCTGTGTTACACAAGGGGGTAGGAGCCATGTGGGTTGGACGTGGTGCTGCAAAGCCTTTGCTGGGTTGGAGGCACTGTTTGTCCTCTTGGCTTCTGGCTGCAGACCAGCTGGCTGAGTGGTGCCCAACCTCCTTTTCCAGGTCAGTTGGTAAAGATGCTGCTCTACACAGAAGTCACTCGTTACTTAGACTTCAAGGTGATCGAGGGGAGCTTCGTCTACAAGGGAGGGAAGATCTACAAAGTGCCCTCCACTGAGGCAGAGGCCTTGGCATCCAGTGAGTAGCTGCACCTTCCTGGGTTTCCTCCTGAGGCTGTAAACAAAGACAAGAGGTGTCTCTGCCACCCACGCCCCAGGATATTCTGGGCTCGTGTAGAAATGGGCTCTTGGTGCTCCTCACGTGGTGCTGTGTGGAGAACTCCCTCTCAGGAGGAGCACTCTGCCAAGTCTCATGGGATTTGGCCTGTGAGCCTTGAGCTTCCTGAGCCCTGAGTTACTGTCTTCTTGGAGCTTTCAGGTGGAGCCAGCCAAGCTGCCTGCTGAGCTGGTGAGAACCTGGCAGCACTTTACTTCCTCAGGAGGTGACATGTGGGGCTTGTGCTCCCAGCTCCACCATAAATATTTCACGTTGGGTCCTTGTTGGGTGGAACTGGCATGTGAAAAATGTTCCCCTCATCAACAGGCAAACTGTGACCACCAGTGGGTGGAACTGGCATGTGAAAAATGTTGTTGCCCTCATCAGCAGGCAAACTGTGACCACCAATTCTGCCATGTGGCACCTCGCTCAGGTCTGGGTTGTTGTCTGCTTAGATTTCACTCTCTAACCCCTCCTGGTGTGTAAGTGTGTGGTGAGATGTTTGGAGCTAGCAGAGGGTGGTCCCTGAGCTGCACACACAGGCTGTGTTCAGCAGCACCTCTGAGAAGCCTCCTGAGAAAGTGACTCCAGGAAATAATGCCCCCAGTGTGTGGTGGTGTGAGGTTTTTTGGTGCAGTAAGCCCTCCTTCCCTCACTTGGGCCACATTGCTGTCTCCTACATGGTGTCTGAAGCCACTGCTGTTGGCAGGAGCCTGAGGTGCCCCTGGTGCTCTCTGTGCCACCACATTTCACCACCTCCAGTCTGGCTTCTCCTGGAAAATGACAACTCTTGCAGCACATGCTCACCTCAGGGCCAAACTCCACATCGCTGAGCGATGCTCGGACCCTCAGCCCTTCCACCCCACCCCACCCCAGCTCTGGGGGTGGGGAGAGCTGCTCGTGGGCTGGGCAGGGTCTGACAGGACCTCCTGGGTTTAGGCTTGATGGGCCTGTTTGAGAAGCGGCGGTTCAGGAAGTTCCTGGTGTACGTCGCCAACTTCGACGAGAAGGACCCGCGCACCTTCGAGGGGGTGGACCCCAAGAAGACCACCATGAGGGATGTCTACAAGAAGTTTGACCTGGGGCAGGACGTGATTGACTTCACGGGGCACGCCCTGGCGCTGTACCGCACCGACGAGTGAGTGACCCGGGCTGGGAGAGGTCAGGGAGTCCAACCACCCCCCCAGCACTGCCAGGGAACCAGTGACCGTGTCCCTCACCACACATC